CGCGCTGCGCTTGCAGTTGCTTGGCTGCTGTTTGCTGCCCGAAGACTCGAAAGACGTTCCGGAGAAAGAAACAGCCACTCCCCAGCACTACCGGCATCCGGCTTCCCAACCTCTGCTGAGTAGCATAATACATGCCCACAAACCTCCTATTTGGGCAACTAGCACCCTGAAACACTCCAGGCATCCGGGACAGGGTCATCGTCATCGTTTTTGTGCATGAAGCTCCGATGTGCAGGGCTAACCCGGGTCACAGACAAAACTGCACTGCAAACTTGTCCAAATTATTGATACGGCCGCAAGCACCTACGCCTCGGCAAACGCCCCTAACCCTAAACCCTAAACCCTAAACTTCCCTCAACCATTCAAGGAACATGCTGCCCTCGGGATCGGAGCAGGGCAGGTTCCGGGTCCCTCGTTGCAAAGCCACACAAAACAGCCTGAGAAAATGCCGATGCTATGGGACTGTAGGGTTGAGGAACATGACTACCTCGAGGCTCCATATTAGTTCTTTTTTGGGCTTCGCATTTAGAATCCTATAAGGTAATCCCAAAAAGGAACTACTTTGGAGCCTTTGACTAGATTATGATATACCCCAAGACCCTGTTCGGATCATTGATGCCCTCGTCTTACTCTTAGGCATCGGGTTTCATCAAGCTAGCAAGCCTGTGATTCAACGGCATCAGACATTCTCAAGAGTGCGGATTGCTACAAGAAGAGCGAGGAGTACCCTTGTAGTACCCCATATAGTAACCCCTATATAGATCCATTTTAAGGCAGCCTATTCCCTATATTGTAGCACCCTCAACCTGGATCTCCTTCAGGGTTGACCTGACAGCTAAAGGCCAAAGGATGCTAGAAGCACCGGACAAGTGTTAATCGACGAATATAGGGGCCTTGAGGATTAGGATAGGGTTTTGGGGCCCATTCTACTATAGCTATAATAAGGAACCCCCCCAAGTAGCATAGGTAATTGTTTAGGCCCCTATAGTACCGCCCGTCACAGAGGCTGAATCAGCTCAGTCTACATCAAGAGAGATGGCCCCGGTCGGCCATGCCTTCGCAAAGCTTGCTGATAGATACAAGACGTTTCGATCCCTTGTAGAAGTGGCAAGCAACGCCTATGGCAAGAGCAACAAGGGCGAAGAGGAGACGGACTAGGAAAGCAGAAAACGCGGAGAAACAAACATCATGCAAGCACACGGAACAGAGACAAGAAGATCCTCCTTAGTGAACCAGCTCTGAATCCTCACACAGACAGCTTTAGGCAGGCACGAAGAATGCTGAATATTGCGGCCCCGAAGCGTGACAACAGGCGGAGGGAGCTCCGACTTGATCTGATTTACTTCGGCTCGGATATGTGGAGGTAGCCGGTGCATGCTGCTCTCAACCATATGCCTTGGATTGGGATGCGGTCTGCCCGGATCTTCCCCAGTATCCCGAAGGCTGAGTGCTCTTATACGCCTTAAGTATAGTCCTCAAAAATGTCTTATCATATTTCCTGCTCTACGACTACTGCGGCTGCGAGGTTTGATGGAAGACACCCTGTTGCGGATAAGATGTGTACGAGCCTCACCAGTTGTTTGTCCTTTCTTTTTGTCTGCTAGAACAATGAAACCGTGGACCACCTTGAAGACCGAACTCTAAACCCAAAGCAAGGCGCATGAAAGACATCTTCATTGGCCGAAACCTACCCAAAGCAACGACCTCGCAGTGGGTTGCGTGCATTTCGGACTTGAGGAGCTCGATCAAGCGGTCGACGCGCGGCATGAGGCCTTCCATCGCTGCCTTCTTGGAGATGAAGGGTAGGAAGGTGGCGAGAAGCTCCTGGTCGGTTGCGTCCAGGAGACGCTGGCGTAGCCGATTGTCTGGCTTCGACATCTTACGGTGCACGAAATGGCAGTATCCACACTCCGTTCCCGATGGGCACACTCTACCCTTGGCGATGTGCACGCATGGTCTGGTACAAAAGTGCGGGTGTCCGAAACTGCCAATGCCAAATCGTAGGTTGGCAGTAGCGGGCTCAGCCACTTCTGGAATTTCTAGGCCCGGTGGTGGAGGAATGTTGTGAATGTTGCGAGGCCAAAAGATTGAGATTGAAGTCGTGTGCTGGCTGGGGCTGTGCTCAGGAACTACCTGGTCTGCGATGGGCGGCACCCATCCACACGATTGACCTGGGCAAAGGCTTGCGTGTGGGGTCTCAGGTTCAGGATCACCCTAGCAGGTTTCCACTGCAAAGATTGAAAAGCAATCAAGAACATGCTTTCACAGTCCCGGGAGCGAAACGGAGCCGGCGCGGTCGCCAAAGCTGCTGGCACAGAATAGTATGCCGCCATTGTTTGGAAGATACCGCAAGCTGTGGATTGGATAAGACCGGATTGTCAGCCTGGTTTAGATCACTCGAGCCCATCGAAATTTTCAAAGCTTCTGATAGGTGCAACATGAGACCAAAGAAATAAGCGGCATGTGATCTTGTTAGAGCTTAGTAGTTGAGGGCATTAACAATCAGGAGTTCTTCCTGAAGCGCTTTATTCAAAAGTCTTTAGTCTCCATTGTGGGAACTCCACCCTCCGCAACCTTGTGCTCTTCATCTGCTAAGCCTTACGGAGTAGGGTTAACCTATCCTGACAACCTGCTGTCACCGTGATCAGTACAATCCAATATAGTACAGTATAAGAGAATAGGTTATAATGCAATATCACTGTTATGATACAATAGGTTCTAACAAAATGAAGCCATTATGATATAGTATCCTAAAATATAGACTAAATTACAATGTAGTATCCCTAGGGATCAAAATAGCCCAAAGGCCTGATGTGGTACGGTCTTGGGGCCCACAAAAGGCTTAATACATGAGTCCTTCGATCTCTGAAAATTATAGATCCCTTTAAAAGACCCCTTATATAGGAACCCTATGTGACTCCTTAGATCCCTAGGGTATGTCATCGACAGGTGGGGCCCGGCCTGATCGTCGTCCTGCACGGGCTTCGGGGCGCAATCGAGGGTCGGGGCTGGGCGTTGAGTCATGCACAGTGATAATAGCGGTAGTCATAATAACAATAATATCGATGACAATAAGACTGATGAGCATAATAATATTATGAAAAATCATAATGAGATTATAGGAAGTAACCATAAAAATGATATGTCAGGGGATGCAAGTCTGAACCTTAAACCTTATACTCCCAAGCCAGTCTAGCATGTAGCTGCGTCCGCCGCCACAATACAGGTGTGAGAGAGAGAGAGAGAGAGAGACAGAGAGAGGGAGAGACCAAGAGAGAGAGAGAGAGAGAGAAGCGGGGGGGGAGGAGGATGGAAGCGGTGGGATCCTACACCCCAAACCCTAATTCCGCATACCCACAAACTCCTCAACCCCTGAACCCTAAACCCCAAGCCCTACAGAAAGGGATCGTCGGCCCAAGTTGAGTGCAACTCTACCATGATTTCTGGGCCGTAAGCTTTAAAAAAACAAAGTCTGGCTTTGAGTTTATGGTATAGGGCTTTTTCGGGTTTAAGTTTCAACGTATGGCTTGTAGGGTCCACGGTTCATATAGGTGGGGTACATTGATCCACTAACTACAATATCCCACGGACCAAAAACATCCTGAAAGCAGGAAATTTGAACCATAAGGAGACCTTGGGTACGGCCCCCATGCAGTGACAGTCTATAATAGGGCTACTATTACCCAGAGGAGACCCTAAACCCTAAACCCTGACCATTCATGCAACCGGAAACCTGGACTCGTAGCCTCCCTCCGCCAGAAGAAGATCAGAGTCAGCCCGACACAAGAGCCGAAGATTCCCAAAACTGGGGCCCCTGAGGGCTCCCTGTGGGTAGGGTCGGGTACGGTGGGTAGCGTAGGGTAAGGTAGAATAGGGTAGGGTAGGGTAGGGTAGGGTAGGGGGCAAGGATCCTACGATTCAATGGCTCCTGAGGTTTAGGTTTTTTTTTTTAAGCGCCTCTTTTCCGACTGGGGTTTAGGGTTTCGGATCTAGGGTTTAGCGTTGGACCCCCCGAACCGCCACCGCGAACATCCTGGGCCTCGCCGACACCGGGTGGCGGAGCGGGAACCAGATCTGCCGAGCAGACTGGGATTTGGTGCTCCGGCTGTTGTGGGGCTGAAGGGCGTGGATTTCAAGGGTTTGCAGGGCCTATGCATGGGGTGTACGGTTTTGGCCTTATCTGGGGTTTTGGGGCTTCGGGGTGTAGAAGATTTTCGGTTTAGGGAGAAGGCTCTTAGGACGAATGCATTCAGGGTTTGGGACTGGACTCTGGATTCGCCATAATTACGAGGGTTTACGATTTAGTGGCTTAGGGTTTCGGGTGGAACGACAGCAGCTTGGAGTTTCCACGCATTCTGTGTTTTGTTTGGGGCACAAGGATTTTTGAGCTTGGCCGGGAGGGACTTGTCAGGGCTCCGCATCACCGCCGCTATCCTACTACTTAGGGTTCAAAAGCCTATGATGTTATGAAACTCCCATGAGCTCGGTTCTCTGGGGCACTTTGGCCTTACCATTGGGAGTTCCATGCTTGTTTTACCCGGAAGTCTATTCCCTGCACCCGAAAAGCCGAAATCCCCACACCCGAACCCCCTATATACACCTGATCAAACCCCAAAGCCCGCATCCAGAACCCATAATGCAACAGCAACCCCTGAAGCCCTTGTACTGATTTAAGAAGATCCCAGTTCCCAGCACCTGTAGTAGAGGGGCCTTAATAATTAGAATAGGGTTTCGGGGCCCATTGTACTATAACTATACTAAGGAGCCCCCAAAATCAAAACTGTATCGGTAATTATTTAGGGCCCCTATAGTATATCTCAACCCGTTTCTAAACTCCTCCTGCGTGAGCATAGAGTCGGTCTTTGCTGGGTGAACAGGATTTGGCCAGGGGCCGCCAGCTCGAAGCTTTCGGTGTTGGGATCTCGGAGAATATCGGAGGATGACTTAAGAACAGGGGTTATGATGATCAAGTATGCTCTTAGTCTGAAAACGCTCAGGACCCAGTCGTCCTTATAGATGTCATGCTCTAGGGTCTTATCTCCTTCGCCGACCGCGGATAGGAACACTGAGACAGCTGGGGCTATTGGCTCTTACCCGCCTCCCTTTCATTGTAAGAGTTGGGAAACTAAATTGGCAGCCCCGTTTCCAAACCCTGTCACCAACCTGAACACCCTGTTGCAGCAGGTTTTGAGGCACTGGCACCTTGCGAATAACAAGAAGGTAGGAGTAGTCAGCGACACCAAATGAACAAGAGACAGTCCCTTTACAATCCTAGTAGAATATCACCCGGTTATCAAGTGTCAAGACCCTATCAAGTCATGATAACCCTCCCTTATCAAAGCACTATCAAGGATCCATTCCAATTATGAAGGCCCCTACGTTGAGTCTTCGGTTTCAGAGGTCACGTCAATGGCGGTTATCGGACAAGGACGTTTGTGCAAACCTGCTGAAACTTGGGTGCTTACTTTGACGGTTTCGGTAGAGTTATTTGTGAGCTCAGGGTTTAGGATGGATTGCCATAGCTATGGTTATTCACGAGTATGTGATGTTCAGTATATATAGTACTGGCTATTATTCGAAGTCCGATATTGGAGTCAACTGCAAGCCAGAATGTCAGCCGCGATGCCTGGCCAAATCGGCTTTGTACAGGAATTCTCTTAGAACACCTCATACTCGTAATCCAATACGAGGCTGCTTTCTATGCGTTTGTACACGCAGCGCACAGGCGTGGAGTCTTGGGGCATGAGTCTCGAAGCTTCCATGTCTGACGCCAGCAGCAAAACCAAAATGCAGCTTCTTTTCACTGTACCCAGTTTTCAATCCATCGTGCGCAATCTGTACTTCGAGGTGCGGGTTCACCATCAAATATTGAATCCTCCCAAACTCTAGACACAAACCCTGCAACATCCTGCAACCGAAAACCTGGAGCCTAAACCCCCGCACCCGAAAGCCTTGGCACTTAATGAAGCATCCCAGCATGGTAGCTTCAAACACGAGGTGCTTGAGGTCTGTATACATGTATATGTGTGTATATGTATACACGGTTGTATACACGTATACATACAGACATACATCCATATATGCATACATCCATACGTGCATGTATGGATAACTTTAAATCAGATATACATGAACCGTAAGTAGTAGGATCGTCAGTCACTATAGCCCACATGAATCTTGAGTATCGCCCCCAAGCCGGCTTCGAATCTACCTGCGGCCCTCGTGGGGCTAAAGAAACAAGACCTGTTCGATATTATGCATAATTGTGGTTGGTTTGAAAACCCGAACGCCCAAACCAACAACTGAACGGGTAAAGTAAATATGGACTTGTTTGGGGTCTTACATGCAGTGGCATATTTCGATCAGGAATCAAGGTACGTTAGATTGTGCCTATATATATATATATTATAAATTATACATATATATATATATATAAATATATATATAGGCACAATCTAAAGTACCTTGATTCCTGATACAAACAAAGCCTAAACACGAACTAAAACTTGCACTTGCAATGGGCGGTGTGAACACACATATAATACCCGTACTGTCAGAAACCCAATAAAGCCTTGCCATCATGTATCATCAATGAGAACCCATCTCTGGACTACCCTAAACCCTAAAACCTTAAAGTGACGGAGGGCCTGCGATCGCCGGTCGAGTTCGCAGCTGGGTAGGATGGCTCGATGAACATTGCCATTATTTGAACAGAATCCTCAAACCATGTAAAGGCCCGCCTTTGAGCCGGGATTTCAACCCGAAGTACGGTACATACCTTTAGTAGTCTACTTGGAGGTTCATGAATAGTTAAGAGTGGGTTATAAATATACTCATTTGAACCCATATATGCATGTATATATAGAGTACTTAACCCACTTATAACTGTCCATGAACCTCCAAGTAGGGTGTTCGATTGCAATTAAAGGGGTCCATGGCATCGGCGCTGTTTCTGCAAGCAGAGTGGCGGCGCCGTGCTTCCGAGTCTCGCTTCAAATTGCAACGAACTGATCCCATTCTTTGAAGTTGCAAAGTCAGTAACTATCAGTATGTTGCACTTAATCATCTTTTGGGTCAGCTCTCCGTGTACCATGCATCACGTACTAGCAAGAGGTATCTTTGCAGGGTCCTCATTGCTGTAGCCCTGGGACTCACGGACCGGGCGACGCGGGCTATTCGCCCTATCAAGTCTTCGTCTTGACTGCAAGATTCGCAACACGGGTTGCGAGCGAAACCAGTCATGTCGGCTTCCCACTGGATCACTTTGACTATATGATAGAGGAAGTGGTGCTTAGGAGTGATTGCAAATCTCTCCTCCCCAAGATGAAAGGAGAGAAATGCAAGTCTTGACGAACCCTTCAAGAAATGCATTCCAGATTGAATCATCGTGTCTTTGTCCTTCCCACACAGCCACAAATCTCCAGAGTAAAGGCCCTTCATAAACATGTTGAGTGCGCGAGTCGCACTTGCCTGAGCTTGCACACTCGTGCGCAAGCCTTTACACATATAAATTATTGTATAGAAATAATAACCCGATTGAACCCTGGATGAATCGGCACAGCTGCCGTGAGCCGTAGGCGTTCGTCACAATGTTGTTCTAGGTTGAACCTCTTAGCAAAATCTTCGGCGAACTGAAGTAGCGTCGTGGTCAGGGCACCTTTGTGCCAGTGCCCGTCCGGGCACGATGCAATGGATGGCCATCCAAGGAGGTCCTTGGTGATTCCCTTCTTGCCAATGTATTTGGTTTTCTTTGGCACCTTAGATTCATCGATCACCATATAATAAGGTCGGGCTGGCATTACTTTACCCATACACATAAACCCGAAAATCCCTAAACCCCTAAACCCTAAACCCGAACCCAAAAACCCTGAACCCCAAGCAGAGCAGCAGAGTTTTGGCAAAACCGAGTATATTCCCGACTCAACGACTGCAGCTTCTCGGGGATAGAGTTCCCATCGACGAAGGGCAAGTAGAGTATAAGTACCGATGCCACCCAGGACTTGCCGACCCCCATATTGACACAGTGCCAAACATCAGGTCTGTAATAGGATGCTAGCGAGTTGGTATCTTGAGGAAGCAAATTTGTGAAGTAGCTTTCGTCGCCTGGCGCCCAAGGAAGCTGCTCATCTACGGTCTCCATGAATTGGGGCCAATCGCTCCTTGGCGGTTCTGGTATCTTCGGTGCAGGAGTTCTGGTGTAGGGCTTGGGGTGGTATATTTATTATGGTGTGTTCGGGGTTTGCCGTTCAATGCAAATCTACTCAAAATCCAAAACCCGAAATCCTAAACCTATCCAAAACCCGAAATCCTAAACCTATTTTCGCCCTATAGGGTTTGATGCAAGCCTCACGAACCCTCTTCTGAAAAGCAGTAGACCGTACAGCTGAAGATATATGAACAGCCTGTGGTTTCGGGTTTAGAAGTGTGCAGGCCTTGCATGGACGAGTTTTAACAATAGGGCTGTTCGAGTGGATGCATACGTATAATTGCAATTCTAGCGGCATGTCTTCAAAATCCAAACCCGGCTGGCCTGCTCTGCATAAATGGCAGATGCCCACACCAGGTTTGCCATCGTCTTTCTTCTTGCCGCGCCGGAAGTGCCGCAGCAGGTGTCCGGCAGAAATCTCGGATGGAAGGTTTAAGGTTTACAGGGTTCCATAAAATATCTACAGGGTTTATATCAGGAAAATTAAGGACGGGTTTGCTATATGAACTCGATCAAGCTTTCTTGCTGCTATATTATAGATCCCGAGACCCCAAAACCTTAATTGTTCAATCATCCTGAGATATATCGAAGCCTAGCTTCCAAGAAAGGCCAATCGCCTTTCACACCTATCGGCACCAGGTGTAATTTCGATCCGTCCTCCAACGTGACCCCCGACAGGTATGCTTCTCGTAGATCCGAACAAATGTGCTGGAAAACATCCTCAAGAGACTCTCCATCCTCGCCATAATGTTCCTTGACAATAAAACTAGGGATGCTTAAGCAACTATATGGTTCATAGGGTTTAGGGTATTATATATACTTTTTATAAGTTATAAGGTTTAGAGTTTAGGGTTTTATGGGGGTATAG